GAAACGTTGTCGTCTTCTCCCGCGGTCATGGAAACGTTATCGTCGTCTCCCGTGGTCACGGATACGTCATCGTCGTCATGCGCGATTGCGGCAAAATCACTAACAAATCCCACGGCCGTTTGGACATCATCGTCGTCCCCCGCGGTCACGGAAACGTCATCTTCATGCGCGATCGTGGCAAATTGAAAATTCCCGGTAAAATACGAAATTTACGCATAATTCCCGGTTTTCCCGGTCGGTGGACACCCTGAGACAGGCAAACGGACAGACAAACAGACAGACAGAAATTGAGATAAGACTCGTTTCGGCTTTCTTAGGCTATGAAACGTAAAAATAACCAAAAACTCCATGATTCTAAGCAATGTACAGATACAACTGTAATTTTATTTAAATAGATGTCTCTTTCCGACTTACAGAAAATACTTGTTTTTAAATCATAAACTAGTATCTGTCGAAATCAGTAGTCCAGTCTAGTAAGTGAGTCCGGTCAGAGTATGAATGCGAGGTGTGTGTGAGATGACGAAGCTACAGTCGCGTTGCAGGGCCGGGCAGAGCGGCTGGGCACTGGAGCTGCGCTACGCGGCGGGGGAGGGGACTGGAGCGCGAGAGAAATAATGATAATTTCTTTAAAAAACTATTCCGATACGACCATTTGGCCGAATTAATATCAGAAAACGGCAAAATTCTTTTAAAATTTCTCTTTACAAAATGACTACCTGCGATTAAAAAAAATAATTACAGCAAAAAAATTCTTTATAAAACTTTTTTGTAAATAAATTTTAAAAAACATTAGCAAAATAGCGTGAATGTCTTATTCATATCATTTACAAAACCGTTTACAAAACAAAAATCTGATAATAAACACGGAAATTATAAGTGGTACAAATTTGTCGCAGAGGTGCTGCTATCTATCGGGCCAGAAACATAAATTTTTCGGGGATGTTTAGCCTTAATCGGGCCGTGCCAAAAGATGGTCGAACGAATGCACATCTCATCCAGTGTGGACTGTTTCAAGTCTATCAATAGATACGTTTGCGGATCAAGTGTAGCTTCCGCATAAGCTTCCTCTATGCATTTTGTACGAGCAATAAAATTGACGGGCTAAATGTTTGATCTGAGCCCGATCTCTGGGGTTTTTTATAACACACTATATAATATAATGAGATGTCTCTCTGATCCTGATCAATCTGATTCTGCGTTATAAAGAAAACATTAAAGTCCCTATGATGTGAAGCTTTTGTAAACAAATCCACCCCACTGTTGTCTGTTTCATGCAGATTTTGTCGTCCACTATGATCAGATTAGGGACATTACTGTCATAGTCGTTCATGTCTGGCAAACTGGTTTATACAGAATAATACTACTGCTGCTGCTGTTCTGCTGCACACTATCACTTGAGTGAGGATGATGTCAGTATAAGTCAGCAAAATCTGTATCACACATTTCATTAGCATGGTTTATAAAACGCATGACAAATTGTGATTTACCAGGGTCGGCAACTAAGGTCGAAAAAAGGGTGTTTGCACCTCAAGTCCATTTCACTTACAGGTTGACTGACTGACTACACTGACAACACGACAAACTAATTTATGCTAATTTATAACAATAGGGAACAAGGAGTGTAAATAAAAAGACGATTTGATTATGCTCTGAACGTGACTATAAGTATTAACTTACAAAACCTATCAAAGTTACAATATCATTTTAAGACAATTACAATTTTCATTTGTTTTGAGGTTAATAAAAATAATAATAATAAAATGGTTCATGTACAAATTAGTTTTTGTAAAAATTAAATTTAAATTTGTTTCAAACAAATTCCAATGGTGTATATTTACTGTCGGCCACAGCACATCTCCTGACGAGGTAAAGTGGATCACCGAATCCACTGTTGTACCGGTCAATGTGACGATCCGAGATCGCTTCGTTGAAGCGCCGTGGTAGGTGGATTCGCATGTAGAGCTCATCGCCAACAAGTCCCTCCAGGACGATCACGACAGTCTCTCCGTACGGTGTGGTCACTCGTTCAAATTTCACAATACGGTAAGCGCACTATTCATGGTATTCACTATTCGAATGATCTTCGTGTACGGCCTGTTTACTTGCACGGCGTTGAGTTCATTTTGTAAGTCCATCACACCGCTGCCGCCTCTACTACCGACACTGACTGACTCACATTTCGACATAATAAATGTGGTAGTAAAACAAGTTAAAGTCAAGCGAAACTGTACACACGTTAGATCCGCACAGTGGTTTGGACGAGAGATGAATTGTTGCAGCAGCATCAGTGCAGTGGTGGGGAGAAGAATGTGGGTGTGTCGCAATATTTCTCAGAATCCATCCTTGTAGAAGTTTCATGCAGAGTCCGGAGTTATTCTAGTTGTTTCTTTTTGCTTCGCCCCCTCGACTGCAGCTGCGCATCAACACGTGGCTTCTTGTACTCGATGCTTTTGTTGGTATCATTTTTTGTCTCTTCCGATTGCATCATCGTCACTGGCACCGCAGAACGTTTCTTCCTTTGTTTTATTCTTCCACCGTTTTCGATTGCACAATCGATGGGTCTACGCCACGCGGGAAGTGGCATCATTGACTTCATCACACCGTTTACTTTCAGAACTCCTGTCATTCGATCAACCCATAAATTCTCCAATTGTGCTAGTAAATGATTCGCACTGTTGTATATTTTATCCCCTTTCTTTTCATTTAAATATATGCCGCAACTGTGTGTTTGCACTCCTTCATCAAATAGTTGTAATTTCAATAAAACTCGACCACGATTGGCGGGATTCTGTACAGTGTATTGAAAATCTTCGTCTATCCACGTTATAGCCGGTGAATCATTTGTCGACTTGAACATCCATCCTGCGTCTTGTTCAGATCCTTCTTTTTTAATTTCGCTGCCACTATCGGTTTGTACATATTTCACATCACTAATCTTCACAGGTTTCTTGGTAATTTTCCTTCTCTCCTTATGTTGCTGCTGCTGCTCCTCTGCATTTTCCATAGGAAAACTACTAATTGCGTTGTCTTCCATCACTTTTATCTCTTCCATAATCAAGCGAATCGTTTCTTCCGCGTCGGCAATACTAGAAGACATAATAATAACAATCAACACAAACCACGCACGTAACGAGTGTATTCACTGCACTCATAGAACTAACTGATTTGTAGTCTAAATGTAGACTGTATCGTGGTTTTAACACCGCCACTAGCGTGTTGCTGCGGATAATTTGACAACTACTCCAAGAGCCGACACCCCACTATGTGGGTGGCCTAACTCAGAAATAAATGTCCTTAAGATTATTTCATAAGGTTATCTTATTTGATTATTTCATTCGGTTGTTTCATTCGGTTTCTTCATTTGGTTGATTAATTAGGTTGTGATTGATGTGATCACCTAGCTACGTGGGTGGTACAACTCGAAAACTAAACAGCACGATATTGCAATCTAATTTTCTCGTTGCAGTGCACTTAACTCACTAAAGCTTAGGTAGCCTTTAAAAAGACCGCTTATTGGAGGAGGGGAGGGAAGGAGGATATTTATTTCTTCAACTCTTTAATTTTTTTGTAAAGTTCTATCCATATCTTAGTATCAGCTTCATACATGATCCATTCCACATCATCCCGAGGCTGAGAGCACCAAACCTGATCAATTAAGTTCCACACCTCTCTCTCCTCCTCCTCCAGCAGCCGAAGTATATTTGCCTTACGTCCTTGCTCCCGCTCTTCCACCCGGTGTAAATCGGCGTCGTCTATATCGCTCACACACTGTTGCTGTTTCTCTTGCTGTTGGTCAGCCATCTCGTGTGAACTCCAAACCCTATCTGAGGATCCGCTACATAGACGTGACACACAAAGGCGAAATTTCGCAGTAACAGGCAGTGACAGGTACGATGGATTGAAATGGATTTTTCCAGGAATTTTGAACTAACACTAGAGGAAGATCCAGTGGTAAACACAGGTGTGCCTTTGTCGGCGTCAATCGAAGGAACGTTCTAGAGGGTGTCCTTTGTTAGTGAACTAAACAAAGCGTTTTAGATGCTTGTCAAGATTTGCTCACCTTCGTCAAATGTAATGGTCTTACTAAAAGCTTTTAGAAACTCAACTAATGGATCTGTCAATCACCCGTTAAGTGGATTTCTTTGTATCCTAGGATCAAAGGGAGTGCCGCCGTTAATTGCTTTCCATTGTATCGAAAGATCAAAGGGACAGCCGACTACACCTCTCTCCGTGGGAGGTCTAGCACATCCCAGGATGTGCCAGTGTATCGAAAGATCAAAGGGAGCGCCGCCGATAATTGCTTTCCATTGTATCGAAGCTTCAAAGGGATAGCCACCAGCACTTCGCTCCGTGGGTGGTCTGGCACATCCGGAGGTGCAGGATGACTAGGGGGGGATGTGCAGGGTGAGGGGGATGTGCAGGGTGAGGGGGATGTGCAGGGGGAGGGGGAGGTGCAGTGGCGGGGGGAGGTGCATGGCGGGGGAGGTGCAGTGGGAGGGGGAGGTGCAGGTGGAGGGGGAGGTGCAGGGGGAGGGGGAGGTGCAGGGGGAGGGGGAGGTGCAGGGGTAGGGGGAGGGGGGGGAGGTGCCACCGTGGGTGGTCTGGCACATCACTGCACATCAATTGCACCTAGCGCAGGTTGCCCATAACACAACTACTTTACCTTCAGTTGCATTTTCAATCATAGATTGTAAACAAGGGGCAGAATCTTTTAAATGCTATTTTTAGCTGACAGTAGCCAAGACATGGTTGCTCTCACCACTCTGGACTCTGTCACAGTGCAATCGTACACTACTAAACAGCATGCAATACAATAAGACTCTAGTTTACAACTTCCTTACTTTTGACAATTTTTATAAAATGCTGTCAAATGTTTATCCAGATCCAGTCAAGTCCTCATTACTGGAGTCTGGTTTAGTGTGAGGGTTTGTTGTGAACGTTGTGATATATTTCTACTAGGTTTATTCAGCAATATTCTATGATTACTGATATTTTTGCAGGAGCCTCGCCTCAGAGGTCAGTGAGACATACCACTGGGGACTTTACATTATCAAATTTATCTGAGAAACACGTAATTCAAAAAGACGAAATCTTCTACAGAGTTAATTTTAACAAAGGTGAGTTTTTACTACTGTGTTTACTGTTAACCCATCAGGGAAGGACCATAAATTAATTTTAGGGAAGGTCCCCAATTAATTTTACTGAATTTGTAGACTTTTACTCTAAATGTTATAGAAAGAAAATCTTGAGTAATAAATAAATAATTCTTTCACCATTTTGTTCATAATAAGATTGTCTACTAAAATGTGCTAATTGGATAATCAAAGTGTAAAATTAAAATTACAAAAAATTAAATATTTTTTTAAAAATAGGCTAAACTTTATTTTAGAATTTCAAGATTAAGGGTCCGCCCTACCTCTGCCGTTTTGTGTAAACGCAAGGGCCTGGGGCAACCGTGTTTCCGAAGGCTACACTTAACGTAGAATCAAAGTTAGGGTGGCATTTTGAAGAGGATTAAATTATCTAGAGTGTTGTGGTTTCAATTTTTTAATATCGTACCATAAAGCCTGAAAATCTCCTTTGAATGTAGACGAAAAATGGCAGTTTTACACTGCTTTAACTCATTATAGAATTCGCCTATTTCCTATAGTCTGTTGATGATTGGAGTGTCCAATCAAAATCGATCACCACTTACCATCATTTTTGTATATTTACCGTCTTGTGAGTAACAGTATAAGCGTAAATATATGTTTTAAGTGTTATAAGACGTTTCTTTTATTTACTTTCCGTAAATTAATAACACGTACAATGCTGATCAAGAAGTTATTATAGAATTGTTACTTTAAAATTCTAAAACCAGAGATGCATAGATTGTTCTTTGTTTTGTAAAACCCCACTCATTGTTTTTTACTAGCATGTATGGGTAGTTTACAAAGGCAGTTGCCGTGAACGTCTGCAAGTGCTTCTCGCGGCGCTGTTTAATGGCGCAACATCTACTGAAGCCCAAGCTGAGATTTTCCGAGTCGATGTCAACGGACCCTTAAAGCAGATACCAAATGACACTATTATCATAAAGTGCAATTAATTCCCCACGTAGAGATATCACAAGTTATTTACTTTTATAAGTAATAACATAGAAAAAATATTTTGTCTTAGACCTTACCGTAGGTTATTTGGGGGATAGCCTACCTGAAGCAGTTAGAGTAGGCCTTGAAATTCCCTCATTGTTTGACCAACATCCTCAATCCAATCAACGTATTTTGTAGAGGTGTGCGGATATCCGGAAAATCGGGTCGGATTCGGTTCGGTTCGGATATCCGTATCCGAACCGAGCCCAAATTCGATATCCAACTTTTTCGGATAGACAATATATTTTGACGTTTTGGACAGAAAACTAAATCTCCATAACCATTAGTTTCCCAGGACAAAATTAAAGCAATACGTTTCCAACGACCTAACAGCCAACGGCAAAGAAGCCGTATGATGCAATACTGATAACTAGTTTAGTCGTTTTGGCTGTTTTGCTTTACGATTAGATTCATCTGGAACGAACAGACATAAAACAGAAAAGAACTGCCATGGTCAAATGAAAGTCAACTCGTGCTTGTCTCGCTCCTGATACTAGAGGCGCTGTGTAGTAGTTTTTTTTACAGTACTGTTTCAAAGTAGAAAAATCTAGTCTACTACTGTGATGTTACGTAAACAATACATTTAATGTTTCCTGAAAAAAAGTCAGAATAGAAACAATAGAAAGGCAACAATTGATATTCCCAGGGCCGGTTTAACCCATACGCAAACTACTCGGTCGCATATGGCGCCACGAAAAAGTTGCGCCAACGGGACACATTTTTTTCAGAAGACAAAATTGGAACAAACTTTACTGAAAAGTGAACAACTTAATTTTCTTTGCTCAGAGTTCAAGTATGTATCCAAAGCACCACACCAAAGGCATTTATACTGTTTGTACCAACATCACTTGAAAAATGCGTATACTTGTACAGCACTTCAACTCTAGGACTCAAGGCATTGATTTGCAGTTTCGATTTGTAGTGAGTGAGCTGACGCTCGGCAGCGTACAGCGCGGCGCCTGTGGGTTTCATTTCATGACTCATGCTCGAGATAAGCGCGCCGGCGCCACTATTGTCATAATACAACAGACATGAATCTTCCCCCTCCCTTCTACCCCTGATCACCCTGCCCTCCTTGAGCAGAGCGAGAGCAGTAGTACGTTGTATTGCACTCACCGTATCGTACTGGCATTGTTTTGGTGATTGTTGATAAGTAAATGATTACGAGAGTTTTAAGCTTAATTTATAATTAGTGGAGTAAGTAAGAAGAAAGTATTATAAACAGTTGTTAGTGTAAATATTGAGACATTGGAATTAATGATACATTGGATTCGTTTCGTAATAGTAAATGAATGAGTAAAACATTTTGCAAGCCGATACTATGAAAACAATGGCAGAAAAAAAGAAACCGTCGGGCACTTATTATAGAAAGCGTAAGGTGAATTTGGAGGAGGAAGATAAAAGACAAGCCAAATCAATGAGTAGTAGGCTTTATAAAAACTCCAATTATCCAATTCATCCTGTAAAAATTGATTCCACATTTAGAAAGAAATTTTTTAACTCTAGGTTTTGCTAAAGTGTATATGATGAGTAAAACTGTCAAAATGTTAAATTTCTTAGAATAATAAACAGTAGTATAAAATATATTTTATTGAAAGTATTCTTCTAACCCAAACTTATAAAAAAGTTTCTTCCCAAAATTTTTGGGAAAAAAATTCACAAATATGTTGGGTCCAGTTATGTACATGGTGGGTGGGGTGGGAGGGAGGAATTCTAGGTGGCGCTGATTCGGGTGTTCGCTTAGCTCTGAAAAATTCCTAGAACCGGCCCTGGATATTCCCGTAGTTAAAGAGAATTATTTTATAAACCTATAAAACAAAAACATAAAATCTTACATAAAGATAACAATAACAGAAATTGTAAAAAGGGTATAAAGATAACAACGTCATTATTCTTTCTCTTTGTTCTTCTATTTCTTGGGTTTCCCTTCATCACGCATTCAAAAAGTTGCCATGGTTACTAATCACCCATGTCGTTATCAGCTTTTGTGACATAGCATACAGCAGGGGGTAAAACTTGTCTAAAATCGGTAAATTTTTACCTATTGTTTAATTACCAATGAATGTACTTTATTGGTATTTGGTACTGTATTAATAATCGGTCAAAATGGCCGATTGTTGTCAAATTTTACACCAAATTTATTGAAATTTCAAGGTGAATATTAATAAAACAATTATTACCAAATATTTTTATTCATTTAAAAGATTGATTTGTGGTATTGGGTTCCCCAATGAGTGCAGCCGAGCGGCACTAATGAGGGTAACCTTCTTGGGGGTGAACAATAGACGGCCTATCAGACCCGACCCTCCCCAGTGGTCTGGAGAAATTTTGTAAACAAACTATTGCACAAGCGTGACTTGACATTGGACTGCTTCAACTATAATTTTGTCAAATGAACTGCGATGTTTCAAAATCAAAAACAATAATTTGGGACCATACTGTTTAACAATAATGGACAGCAATTAATTGTTGAACATACAATCCATTTTTAACAAACTAAGATTATACGATTCAAATACAATTATAAAAATTATCTTGGTATATTACTTGGGGTAATGAAGTTATGTAGGCTAGTGTAATTCTCGGTTCATCAAGGTTCTACTGAATTATGTTTGGCAGTGAATAAGTGTAGAATGCAATTTATAAATTCAGGGATACACACCTTTTACAGAGTTATAAAGCCTAATTGCCCAACATCAAATCGTGAGCTAGAGCCCAGCTTAGTGCATTAGTGATGTTTTCTAAACTTGGCAAACCCGCAAAATGCCACTTAAGGCCAATAATCCTGTGACGTACTTTTCCACACTGAAACATATAACACTAGTTTACATGCCAGGTTTAAGTACCACGTGCTATACAGCACATTTAGTTTCCGGATAGGCCTCAGTACGGAGATTTGGGTTGGCCTTCCAGGGTTCGCGTCAAGATGTTACCTTCACACTCAGCCGTGCCGTCGCCTTGGCTGAGGTTTACCGCGTCGGAGATCTCGAGCATCTGGTTCATCACACAGATGTCGCCGTAGTCCGGATTAATCCTCACGGACCGGTCACTGCCCCTTCCACCGCAGTGAGACGTGGTGGCCTTCCATGGAAGCTAGTCGCCACCCCCCGAAATCGTCTTCGTGTTCAGCACACGACATCCAGCCAGGCACTTGGGTTCTGCACACCAAGTATGGGTTGACTCCGTCTGCCGTTGTAGTCTGGGGTCCACTGTCGCCCTCCTGTCGTCACAGCCACAGGCTGAGGCTCATTCCGCCCCCCCACTCGTCATAGTAGGCTGGGGCTCATCCGGCCTCACCTGGCCGTCGTTGCAGGCTGGGTCTGTTGTGACCACCGTCGATTGCAACTGCAGAGTCAAGTCATACTTCCCATTCGTCGCCGCTGTCGTCGGGGCATCTGGTTTCTCACGCAGATCCCTGTCGGTGCTGTCGTCTGGGAATCCGGCTCATCGCACGGACCCCTGTCACTGTTGTCGTATTGGTATCCTGCTCGTTGCAGGAATACCTTTCGTTGCCGTCGTTCGTTCGGGCGCCATAAATGTGACGTACTACGTGGGAGCATTGGTCCCCTGCCCGTTGCTCGTGCTTGTAGTCGTATGGGAATCCGGCTCACCGCACGGACCCCTGTCGTTGTCGTCGTCGTATGAGTGTCCTGCTCGTTGCAGGGACACTTCGTCGATGTTGTCGTATCGTGGGGATCCGGCTCATCGCACGGACCCCTGTCGTTGTCGTCGTCGCATGGGAATCCGGCTCACCGCACGGACCCCTGTCACTGCCCCTTCCACCGCAGTGAGACGTGATGACCTTCCATTGTCGTTAGTCGTCATCCCCGAATCGTCTACATGTCCGCATGTAGCCCCAGGAGAATCTGGTTCAACACACAGATCCCAGCGTCGTAGCGGTACCTGGGGAACTCCACCTGCCGCTGTAGCCGGGGTTCGGATCACCCACCTAACGTCGCAGCTACTACGCCTTCACTGCAGGCTGGGCGTCCATCGTGGCCCCAATCGAGACTACAGCCGGTAGTCCTCGGCCCCGTCGGTCTCCGCCGCCGTCATGGGTGTCTGTCTGGTTCTGCACACAGACTCATGATGTCGCGGTACTTGAACTTAGCCGACTCAACCCGCCACTGTAGCATAGGGTTCGAGCTCACCCGTCGACCACGGCTACAGGCTGAGGTGCGTTCCACCCCCCCACTCGTCGTCGTAGGCTGGGGCTCAGCCATCCTCACCTGGTCTTCACCGCGGCCTGGGTTTTCCAGCCCGCGCGCCCTATATCGGTACTACAGCCGGGGAGCCTACTCGTACGTTTTCGTCGCTGACGTCCTGAGTGTCCGGTTTCTCACACGGACATGTGTCACTGCCCCGTCCGCCGCAGTGAGCTGCGTGGTGGCCGTCCGTTCGTAGTTGTCGTTTGCCACCCCTGATGCGAGCTACTTGCACCCTTTGCATGTAGTCCTCGGGGATCCGGTTTATCACACGGTCCCGTGTCACTGCCCCGTCCGCCGCAGTGAGTCCCGTGGTGGCCGTCCGTTCGTAGTTGTCGTTTGCCACCCCCGATGCGAGCTACTTGCGCCTTCCGCAGGTAGTCCTCGGGGATCCGGTTTATCACACGGTCCCATGTCACTGCCCCGTCCACCGCAGTGAGTCCCGTGGTGGCCGTCCGTTCGTAGTTGTTGAGTGCCACCCCCGATGCGAGCTACTTGCACCCTTCGCATGTAGTCCTCGGGGATCCGGTTTATCACACGGTCCCGTGTCACTGCCCCGTCCGCCGCAGTGAGTCCCGTGGTGGCCGTCCGTTCGTAGTTGTCGTTTGCCACCCCCGATGTGGATAGTCCTTGGATTTACACCACGCCAAGATCCACCACAACGGTTCAACACTCGTTGGGTACACGTTGACCAAACCCCGGTTGTCTCGCTGGCCGTTGTTCTCCGTTGCAATGGTTGGTTTATCACGCGTAACCACTGCCGCTGGATAATCAATCGAAGAACATCGAAGCTGGCCAACAGCGTGATGTGAGTTCCTCTGGTTGGTTTATCACACAACCCCAGCCGTTCGAGAATCGTAGTAAGCTAGCTGACTGCTCTACGTCAATCTTCCGTCCGCTAACGAGTCGCTGGTTCCAGTGTCGTGAGTTGCTCGTCACTCCAGGTAGGTTTAACACGCTACCGCAGCTGCTGAAGCGTCGGTGAACTCCATGGTCGTCACCAAAGGTAGGTTCAACACGCTACCACAGCTGCCGAAAACACGCTGAGTCCACGCCAACTCGCCAGTCCCAGACGTCAAATGGTTTCACACCATAGGCCAACGCTATCCAACTCGCACCAAAACAATCTCAACACCTGTCGTAAACTCATAACACAAAATATTAGAATCATACAAATCATTAAACATGAAATAATTCAACGGTTAGTCACGGATTATCTCACATGACACTAACCAAACATCGTTAAAGGCTGCTGGAATTAGGTATAAGTAAACCTTCACACTCCTGCTGGCTCAATTTTTTTGTCATGTAACAATGTTGTATTTTGGGAAGATTCAGTTGTTTTATGTAAATACAGATGTATTAGTTTTATCTATTAGTTTTAAGTCTTTATTTAACCATTGACAATATGTCCTGTTATTATAATGTAATGACATGTAACTCAATAAATAAATAAATAAATAAATAAATAGAGATTATATCACCAGACAGAATGGATATAAAATGCCTTGTTACTTAAAACGAAAATAGCTAAAGTTGGAGGCCATTCCAACGAAGCAAACAAACTCCACTATTAATAAAGTAACTAAGGCCGAAGCGAACTATCCAGTCCTGGTTTACATCAATCTGAAAGCTCTTTATGGCAAACACGTTGTTTGAAACCATAAAGCATCGTAAAACACAGGCCTAAGGCCACTACTACCAACACGCCATGCGTGCCGATCGGGACGTGCTAAACTAGCACAACTAACCATAGTAGCCACTGACTACTACTAATAAATTCGTATGATGAGATTAAATTGTTTTGGGCTTACTAAAATGGATTCAATATACACTGACCTCGTAATATTTATTCGTTACGTTATGGGTTTAACACACCATCATAATCAAGTCAACTTGGCCTAAGTCCATTGGTTTAACAGGAGTGAAAATATAAAACCTAGTAAAACAGATTTTAAAAACTAGTATTTTACACCCTGGCAATAATTAACTCGGTTTACCTTATATCTAATAGAATATAAGACTTACAATTTGACTTGAAGTATCACGCGAGTTAACTAATGCTTCACCAATCACTATGTCGGGACTAACTCGAACTTGTCGTGGTAGTTGCTGGTGAGGAACTCTCCTATCTCGTGGCTGGTGAGGAACTTTCCTATCTCGTGGCTGGTGAGGAACTAACTTTCTTGCTTGCCGTCTGAGGGTTCCTCGGATCATCCCTCTCGCTCCCCTCTCTAGCAAAGTAGGGGGCTCAGCTGATCCGAAACGATTGCTGTTTGCTAAAAAAAGCTAGCCGGCCGCCGTCGTCTGCAGCCGCTAAATCGTCAGTCGCTCGAGCCTGTTGTTGTTGTTGACTGTAGGTTATGTTGTGTTTGTTTCACACGACAATGAGTTTTAACTTCAAGTTGTCGGTTTATATTATTCACTCCGCATTTCCTCACGTCTTGGAAACGGATTATTGGCCTAAGGCCATGATCTGCGGGTTTACTAAGTGTAGAAAGTTTCTTCAAAGTACCAAGCCGGGTTGAGCCCTAGCTTGCGAAACACATCGCTGGTGAGTCAATAAGCTATAAAACACTGTATAAGGTTCATGTCACGCTCATACAGTATTAATAACTCTTGTTCTACACTTATTTAATACCAAACACAACAGTGTATCATGCCTATACTTTACTGATGATGTTATAACTAAGGTTAGCCTTCTAACCTATAACCTTAGTTAGGGCTGGTAGGCTATGCCTAGGGATAGGCTAGACATAGGAGTAGGCTAGTTTGACCCCCCCTCAAAATAGGCACGTTACAATCCGTTCCAAAAACGTAAGGAAATACAATGTGAAAATAAACTTGAGATCGAACTCCTTGTCTTGTGAGAACCAGGAAACAACATAAAACATAACCTCAAGTAAACAAGCCCAAACGTTTGACATCAGTCCTGCTGAGCTAAGGTATTGTGTGAAGATTTCGGCTGCTAGTGTACTTAATTCAAGCAACCAACTTTTGAAAATAAATGTTGTGAATTTATTTATTTATTTATTTATTATCAACGGTTCCACCATTTTTACAATGTTGATTAATAATAACAATCAAGACAGCTAGATTTCAAATGACTTACATAATGAACAACATAAACAATCAATTAATAACAAAATTACAACTACAATCTATTTACAATCAAGACTTTGCAGTTTAATAATAATATTATAAGGTTACATGCAAGTGCAATAATTGTGATTTTCAAGAGAGAGAAAACTGTGGACTTGGCTAATTTGAAATTCTATAATTCAAAATCGTCATTTAAGTTTATTTACACAGCTTTACATTGTTTTATAGGTTAAAAATACATATGCAGCTTATTATTAACCGCGCCGAACTATCCGAATCCGAACTTCCCAATATCCGATCCGAGCCTCAACTATCCGATCCGAATCCGATCCGAAATGAAATTTCACTATCCGCACACCTCTAGTATTTTGAAAACCAAAATTTGCTTCATCACCACTAGCACAGAAAACGTACTACTATAACCCAGAATGCCAACCGCATGGTAAAAAGCATTAAGCGGTTTGAGAGAGCTTTGCCTGTCAATCCGTAGGCAGCGCCACCAGCGTTGCCATGCAATAGCATAGCAACGCTGGTGGCGCTGCCTACGGATTGACAGGCAAAGCTCTCTCAAAACACTTAATGCTTTTTACCATGCGATTGGCATTCTGGGTTATAGTAGTACGTTTTCTGTGCCACTAGGCCTACTTTCATTGTCTTTTGTAACCAACGATAGTAAATCGGTGTACTGTTTTTGCGATTTCGTCTTCCTCACTGACAAAATCACTATCACAATCTAGTTCATCATCACTGTTCAAGAAACAATCAATTTCAGAAGTACGTAAATTATCTCCACTTATGATAATTATCTATAACTACTTCATACAATAAAAACAATAACAAAATAATATAGTATTAATCAAATAAAATAAAATATTTCTTTATCGCCAGTTAACATATTTACATGCATGGCTTGCATCACATATTTGGTATATTTTGCATATATATATATAGTTTTAGTATATTTCGTATTTCGTTACTAGTCCGGTAAATTACGAGACAGAGTTTATTTATAGTAGGCTAATTGATAAAGTTTTTACTTTTATACAATGCTATCCCTATATCACCAGATTAAGATGGTAAAGCAAATAAGCTAGGTTATGTTTGTTCATGCTATTTATTTTTATTCTTTCCTATAGAACACAAGAGCATAGAGAAGTTTCGTCTGCACTGCACAGTGTGTGACGAGCACCTGGGTACGTCCAGTGTGGCGTGCCGTCGCAAGGTGCGCTTCCACAGTGTCCTGGGTGTGCTTGTGTGCACCACCTGTTACGACAAAACGTACAGAGCTCCTGCTGATACTTGTCTGTGGTGTGCAAAGGCGATGATGAACAGTGTGAAAACTTGTTCTAAGTGTCGTAAATTGTTTTGCGAGGTGAGTATTTCTTGTAGTTGAAATTCTTAATTCCGTGTAAAAAACTGTGAGCCTTTCTGTGTTGAAGTCGGTATCACACATGGTAGTTAATACTATTGTAGGTCTCCTTTTGATCCACTTCTTGAGAAATGAGGGATAGCAGAAAGGTATGAGGAAGAATTAGACCAAAGACTAACAGACACAAGTATACTTCTCATCCCATTGTAAAATTTGAAGCTTGTATTTTGTAGTTCATGGTATGGGACACTGGGTGCCAGTGGCACAAAATTTTGTTTCCATTATTTTAGTGTTAATTTCATAATTTGTGCTTTACCGTTTGGTTTTATAACTAGGGGACGAGTTATTGTTCATGATAAGATTGTTTTACTTGGTTAAATGTGGTTTTAATTAACTGAAATATTAAGAAACAAATTGTAGGCCTAACAAAAAACACAATCCTAGCAGCTGTACTTGCAAACACCTTATAAAATGTATTTTCATCACTATTTGTACAAAAAAGCTAATTTCGGTACAGCTGAGTTTTTAAAAATTGACACTCAAATCTGTCAGAACATATAATTTTGCCTGTTTTAAACATAACTTTTCCGATCAAAGCTATTATTTACCTATCTTAAACAAACCAGGTTTTTTTTATGTGAAATATTGTTCAAACAATAATTTTTCTGCAAAAACTGTAAATGAGATTGAAATAGTTTTTGTTCAGTAATTAATACGCACCTAGGTGGCGTCCCCATCTCAATGATTGATAATTGATAATTGAATTGATAATTGATGGGTGGTTTCTAGAGATGTATGCAGCGGAACTTTGGGCCTGTGTTTGCTTCAAAATTATTGGAAAATACAACTCTTTGGGTATGTTTTGTATGTGACATAAAACAGCTGTGGCCTCACCGAGCCATCGCCTACTTCCTCTTCCGCCATTACCGTTATATGAAGAGGTATGTACACACCAAACTAAGGAGTAGATAGTTTCTTAACTAAATTAACATTGAAATGTTAAATGTATTTTATTTCATAACAACTAGAGATAGGTAAATGGGAAACTCCCAGCACTAATTACTGTAAATATTCAGTTTGGGTAGAGTTAGCAAACAAGCTTGTTACCTGCTTGTAGCGTCTAGAGCTGATAAGCCAGGCGTTGGTGGTTCAATGCTGGTCGCTTGCACCATCTTGATCTCACTAGATTCATTACCTATGTGACTTATACCTAAACCCCAAAGTTGGGGATTAAAATCCTTCCTATCACCAATAGATTTTATCGAAGTGATAATTCCTCAACCCTCTAGTCACGGAACCTTCTAGACCTAGCCTTAAGTAATATGCAAAATGGTTCTAGGCTAGAGTCCTAAAATGTGGGGAGGCAGTGCAGTAAAAAAATTGCTTAATGGATAAAAATAACTTCTTTGTGTTTGGAACATTCTACACATCAGTAATATATGGTACAGGCAGATGGAGTTTTGATCCAATTTTTTAAGGAAAGAAGGTAAAAAAGCCTTAACTAGCACGGGTGGTTAGCCTGTAGTGTGAGAAACATGAACTGATACCATGAATTCAATCCATTTTGATTACATTGCAATTAAAGTAGGCAAAACATGAGAATTGGCACAAAATCTGTCAATAAAACTGGGTTTTACCAGTGTTATGGGTAAATGACTCATTGCAATAATTTTTCTACAAACCAAACTAGTTTTTTTTTCAATTTAGAAAATACTATCACAAGGTTGTTGTTCCTTGACTGTCTTGGATTGTTGAAGGTAATATCTCTGTTTAATTCTTGGTTTTAAGGGGAGTCGCTACTAAAAATGATAAATTTTGTAACAAATATTATTTTTTAATTTTTTTTTCTTGTTCGATGGTGTATAAAGCTTTTTTGAAAAACACAACACATGGTATGATTATATATTTTTACCGCTGTGAAAAAAATATTTGAAGTGGAGCATGCACACCTGTTTCGGAGCATCATACTGAGCCAGGCAGGTTGCTAGTTGGTAAAACTAAACTAAACCGCTGACCAAAATAAACTAAACTAAATAAACTTCAACCGCTATTTTCCGCAACTTAAAAATGTTATTTTTTAGCGAATTTCCCTATAGGGAAGTAGCTATTACCGTAGGTCTCATGGTAAGACCTAAGCCCGGGACCGATTTACTTTTTCATTTTGATGTCCCCAGAGGCCAAAAACACCATTCGTTCAAATTTTTATATATCTATATATAGAGATATATATATATATGTGTCCATCCGCACGATAACTTGAGTAATTTTTGTCCGATTTTGATAAAATTTGGTTTGAATGTGTAAGGCGGGATAAACTTGAATGAGTTCGCGAACCAGCATGATCGGACTATGGGAACGGGGGTTTATGGGGGGTTTTATGGGGTAAAAATAGGTTTTTTCCATGTTCGACCCTAAAAACACAAAATTTCACAATTTCTTTTTAAACCATTTTGTAGAGCTTAAAAAACAAATAATTTAGTATATTGAAGCGTTATTATGCGCCTAATTGTTACGGAGAAAATTTAAAAAAATGTAATTTTAAAATTCCCATGTTATTCTTATGGAGAATAAGTCAACTGGTGTTGTTTGCTTGTTTATGAACATATTTTGATCAAATTTGGAAAATACATTAATTTCTTACTAAACCACAGTAACTTTTAATATTTTACATAAAAAAAAACTTTTTTACCCTCCCTGTTGCAGCAAACCTAAGTACTCATTAAACTATTTCTGTTTAAATTGGGAATAAATGTGATATTTTTAAGGAGACATTTTAGTTTAAATCCAATCAGGCAAATGGAAATTCGCTAAGTCTGCAGGTTTGCTGCGGCGGGGGTATTTAAATTTTAAAGCTATATGAATAAAATTTTTAATTCACATTGTTTAGACTATAAAGCAACGTTTTTTGTTTGAGTATTGTAATACATGTACACGAAAACAAATTAATACCCCCGCCGCAGCAAACCTGCAGACTAAGCGAATTTCCATTTGACTGATTGGATTTAAACTGAAATGTCTACTTAAAAATATAACATTTATTCCCTATTTAAATAGAATTAGTTAAACAAGTACTTAGGTTTGCTGCATCAGGGAGGGTAAAACTGTTTTTTTTTTGTGTAAAATGTGAATAGTTAGTAAGAAATGAAAACATTTTCCAAATTCGATCAAAATATGTTCACAAACAAGCAAACTACAACAGTTTACTTATTCTCCATAAGAATAACATGGGAATTATAAATTTACAATTTTTTTGAATTTTCTCCGTAACCATTAGGCGCATAATAACGCTTCAATATACTAAATTATTTGTTTTTTTAAGCTCTACATAATGGTTTGGAAAGAAATTGCTAAATTTTATGTTTTTTGGGTCAAAAATGGGAAAAACCTATTTTTACCCCATAAAACCCCCCGTAAACCCCCGTTCCCATGGTCCGATCATGCTGGATTGCGAACTCGTTTGAATAAACGTACGTTTACTGGTTTGTACCAAATTTCATCAAAATCGGATCATTTTTGCTCGAGTTATCGTGCTGACGGACACATATATATATATATATAAATATATATATATATATATATATATATATATGAATTTGAACGGATGGTGTTTTTGGCCTCTAGGGACCTCAAAACGAAAAAAAATCGGTCCCGCGTCCAGTTCTTACCATGAGTACTACGGTAATAGCTTATTCCCTATATGGGAAATTCGCTAAAAATGAATTACATGCTGTAAAATTTTTTTAAAGTTATTTATTAAGTCATAACTTATAAACTAATTGAGAAAAAAACATTAGTATAAACAAAAACTTAGTACTTTCTTTGCTTTTTAAAATGATACATCAAACGATAAAATTGGTTCAGTAGCTAAAAACTTATAAAGGGTTTAAAATAGGCCTACCAATTTTTCACTTTATCAGCAGTAAACATTTTTCTAAGACTAAATGTACCTAAAAAAAGTATGTAACCAATGATAATTTTTAAAGGATTTATTTTTAATCACTAATTTCAGTAGCGACTCCCCTTAATATCGGTTATTTTTTTCCGTCAGTATGTGGGTGTGCTTTGATTAAGTCAATTCGGCCTGTCAATGTCAAGAATTGAGTGGGTGTCAAGAAACCTAGAAAAGGGTATCGTATGAGCTTCCTCTAATAATATTTTATAGTATTGATAAAATATTTTGTACTTCAAGTTCACACTTGCAGGTTTTGATAGTGTAATTGATTTTTACTTTCAGTACTTTGGCTAAAGTTAAGATTTGAATACTCAATGTAAAAGAGTATGCTTGTACTTCATAGTGTTGGTTTCATAGGAATACATGTTGGTTTCAGGAAAAAGTACGAGTTGTCAAAATGCCAACCCTCAGTTCAAGGCCAAGCCGACATTTTCACAGAAGACCTCACATCTTGTTGCAAGGGTAGGACGATAGGACCAAATCCTATACCAAATCCACCATTGCTGTCTACTGTTGTAGCTGAAGCTTCTACATCGAATAACTTGATACCTCCAATGATGCCCAACTCCTCCGCTATGGCCATAGCCAGTCAGCCATCTTTGTTCCTGATTGGAGATCAGTCGTCCAACTACATCTATGTCCAGGCACCAAACAATTTACCCTCAGTAACTCTCAACACTGGAACTCAATATATTCACAATGTTTTTACAGATAGCCCGGCTCTCCCAAACACAATCACGTACCCCCTACCCTCTCAACAACCTGTTTTATCACCCCAGTATCAGATCAACAACCCCACACCTCTACCCAATTGCCATCTTTCCCCGTATTCTACTGTCACTACAATACCTACACCGCATCAAGAATCATCACCAACAACTCAATCAAATACTTTTCCAGTGAATCCTGGTGAATCTATTCTTCTTAAAGCAGTGGACAACTTTAGGCCCATAATAATGACTTCAAGTGACATTTTGGGAGAAGAAGCTCCGATGTTGGTTCCTGATATTGATATTCAAGAAGAAAATGTTGTTGCGAGTCCCCTGATGTCTGCCAGAGAGAGAATCGAACAAAGGCCTATGCCAAAATCTAAAAAACAATCACTTTTAAGAACTGTTCTCATGAGTGAGAGTATTGAATCGATGAAAAGAAATCTGCAGCTATCCTCTGAAACTGATCCATTGTCTGTTAATGGTAATGTAAATACTCCAGTGACTGTACCTTCAACAATAAGTAACGAATGTGAACAGAATATTGAAGAACCAATATTGAAATCAATTATTGAAACAGCGACTGAGCGCCTCATTAATATCCAAAATAATCAAAATTCATCCAATGCCAATAAAAATGCTAGTCAACAAAACAGATTTGATAACGCTCCTGTTGATGCAACGATTGATTTGTGTGAAGATGAGGATCCACTTGCTATACCAAAGATAAAGATAAAAACTTTAAAAGAATTGCAAGACCCTGATATGTTTAGAGGTTTTGAAAATGAAGAATCTGGCTCTACTATTACCAAACTCTCTCCTGAAACTGATAAACCCTCTGATAAAGTAGATATTGATATTACTGATTTAAAACAAGGAATCATCGAGACATCAAGATCCTTAATAGGTACCCAGAAAAAGTTTAAAGAGTTGGCAAAGATAATCTCCAGTAATCTCCTTTACAAACCTGATCAGGCTGCTGAATTAATTACTCAATTCCACGATATCCTAAAGACTTGCTATGCAGAACTAGATCAGATTGATAAGAATGTTAGACAGAAATTTGGGCATTTGACCTCAGGCAATGACATTGCTTCAATACTGCAGTCAGTGAGGAAACCTGAAGAAGTTGCTAATCCTGTGGTGCAAAAAAAGAAGAGAGGAAGAAAACGAAAGCTAAAACATAAGCCAAATGTTGTAGTAACACAGCCCATAGTTGAACAGAATGTCGATGGTAGTATTGAAGATTTTGAGGAACCTCAAAACCATCCCCGAACCGGAAATAAAGTAACAAATAATACTAATGTTGAATCATCGGATATGTTGCCCAGTCATTCAAAAAGGAAGCGTGATTTACTGGTTTTCAACCCTCTAGGAAAGGTTATTTTAGGATCTCCAGAAATAACGGAAGAAGACTTAAGAATGATTCCTGACTCTTCGGATTTAACAGATACAAAACAATCGAAACCACTTCATAATGAGGTGTATTTGGAGGAACTCAGAAGACGTCAATATTTGGCACAGAAAATGGCATGGAGGAAGAAGAACATTTGGTTGAGTAGTAAACGGAAAAAGAACAAACATAAGAAACGCTCCTTGCACATCACAAATTCTCCATTGGCATACAATGAAGAAGGATCCTTAGTAAAGAAGTCAAAGAAAAGAAGGAAAAAAATGGCTGACAGTGACAATGAAGATACATTTTATAAACCTACCAACAATCAATACCCCAAGCGTATACGAAAGCCTAGTGGGCTGTCTCCGCCATTGAGAGTATCTGGTAGGAAACATCCGTCTACTCTCTTAGCTCAACTGAACACAGCTTCTGTTTTGAAACCGTGTAGTGTAGTGATTGAGAGGTTAGACTCTAAGTTTGTTGAGTTGATGGTAAGAAGAGGAAAAAAGTCAAATATTTCTTATGAGCCGGTATTCAAGTACATGAATTATGAAAGCGATTCCTCGAATACGTCTTCAACCTGACTTAATAAAGGTGTTGCCCTCAGAGGTTAACAGCAGTCCAGTGTATAGAAGCAGGCACCACAAATGCCACGACTTCTCAAAAGTGTAGAAATGAAAACCCTATTATTCATCGTTATTTAGTAATAATTTGTTTTCTTTAAAAAAATGTATCGTATGTTATGTTTTCACACGGAACATTCTATTTGTAAATTTGGTATTTATTTTTTATTTTTAATAACCAAAAGATTATTATTGTTTACATTTTTCAATCCAAAATTTAATTAGGCCTGTGAAAGATTTAAAACTATGCAATTAAAAAAAACCTATGATCTTTAAATACCCCTCCCACAGCAAACCTGCAGACTAAAGGAATTTCCATTTGCCTGATTTGATTTTCAGTTTAGTCTATTTAAATAACATAAGGTTAACGAGTACCTAGGTTTTTCTGCTACAGGGATGCTAACAAAGTGTATCTTTAATTAAATTATTAATAAATTAAGTAATGAAAAAAATAGCCTAGCATAAAATAATAAAATTTGCCAAATTTGATCAAAATATTTCCATACCAGCATATATAAATTTTAAAAATTACAATTTTTTTGAATTTTCTCTGTAACTAATAATCATACAAAAAACTTCAATATACTAAATTAATGGTTTTTTGAGCTCTTTAAAACGGTCTAGAGAGAAATTGGTATTTTTTTGTTTTTTGAGGGTAAAAAATGAGATAAACCAATTTTTACCCCATAAAACCCCGTTCCCATAGCCCGATCTTGCTGGTTCAGGAACTCATTCAAGTTTATCCCGCATAACACCTCCAAGCCAAATTTCATCGAAATCGGACAAAAATTACTTAAGTTCACGAACACATAATAAAAATTTGAACAAATAGTGTTTTTGGCCTCTGGGGACATCATAATGAAAAAGTAAATCGGTCCCGGACTTCCCTACAGGGAAATTTGCAAAAAACTCAACCAGGCTAATGTAGGTTTTTACTTTCTCCAATAAATATGTGACCCCTGAACCCAAAAAAGTGGTTTTCGAAGTGATGTCTGTCCGTGTGTGTCTTCAACTTTTGTGATTTTCCCTATAAAATATCAGTTACTCCCACCGCTTGCCCATGATAAAGGTTGTTGACACTTCCAATCAATACTTATGAAGTACTACAAAATTGTTTTTAATTGTAGGCTATAATATATTTATTTATATACTAGCTGCTGTACCTGCGCTTCGCAACGGGAAGAAAAATCAGTTGCATAATCGTTGACATAGATTTAGAATAAATAAGCTGATTTAAAACCTGAAAAAAGTCAATTATCAAACATTCTCACGTTCTCAAGACTATCAAGTACCTCTCTGCAAAATGTCAGCTCAATCTGTCCACGAGATTGAACTTTGGAGTTACACACAAACATCCATACTTTCACACTTATATGTATTATTAATTTTTTTATTGTATAATATCATAATATCTAAAGAGAGATTATATTATCAGTAGCCTAATTTGTGTTTTGATCTAAGAGGAAACTGTAGTAATGTAAATGTCTTGCTGATTTCATGCACTAATGAAATTAATGCACTAGCCATTGTGAACCAACTTAAAGTAAGTACTAATTTTTGTATTTTTTAACCTTATTAATTCTTGTGCTGTATATATGTTAATATCCAAAGAATTTTTTGTTGCAATTTGTATTAGTGTAAGTTAAGGGAAGATTAGCTTTATTCCCACTGCACATTGTTAGTAAGTGTTTTGTCATTTATCAATATATATTAATTTTTTTAATTTATAAGGTTTTTTATTCCTAAATGTGTATTTCTGACCAAATTATAAAGTTTTTTTTTTCATAGTAAGACTGCACATACTTACTGCTTTGCCACGCTTTGGCTTCACAAACTTATGCCCTCAAACTCACATTGCAGTAAGTTAAGAATCGTTTTTAGACTTTGAATCTCTTCTCCTGTAAGGTGATGAATTAGAGAATAGTAGTTTACGCATTGATCAGTAAAGATAGTCTTAACCACACAAGTAAAAATTGAATGTATCATTTGTTATTAAGTTTATTACTTTCCAAAGTTTGTGCCTTAAAATCTACAATATTTTGGAATCTAAAAACCAAATAGAAAACACCAGTTTATAAAACGGTTGTGGTTGCACATTAAAAACCTATGCTCTGGTTTATTGAATTTAGAAGTTAGCATTCCCTACTATAAAGAAAGACGGACAGCTATAAGACTTGTACTGGAAATAGGAAACTTATTTTAGAGGGTTTTTCTTACTGGAGCCGGAGACCAAAAATAACTACATAAAAGAACATAAGAATAAGAATATAAGAATAAGAAAGTTTATTGCCATTGACCAAGTTGTACATGGAATAAGCATTGTCAAATTACATTAAATAAAATATTATTATATTACTAAACATGTTCATATCTATAGGTGCCGTAACAAAGATTGCGAATAACGATTGAGAATTCTTAATTTATAGTATGAAAGATTCCGCTTTAATTTTATACTTCATGAAGTCCCTAACTGAGTAGAATGGGTTAGCTGCAAGCCAGTTATAAATTTTTGCCTTAAAAAGAGGAAGAGAAAGGTTGTCTGCCTGAAGAGGCTCAGGCAGCTTATTATAAAATTTCACACAATTAAGTTTGAAAGAATTACCTGTGATGGCCAGCCTGTGATGTGGTATATCCAGTTGTTCCTTATTTCGTGTATGGTGGAAATGGTAATTCTGCCTGGTGGGAAACTCATTGAGATTAGCTTTAGTGTATATAAGTACATTGTAGATGTATAAGTTAATGATTGTGCAAATGTTTAGTCTGACAAAAAGTGGCTTGCAGTGCTCCGCAGGGCCAGCCCCCGACATGGTGCGGATGACTTCTTTTTGTATTAGTAGAAGCTCATGAACATGGGGGGAATGGCCCCAAAGTTGGATTCCATATTGAATGTGGGATTGAAACAGTCCAAAATAGGCTAGTTTGAGATATTCAATGTCTACAAAAGACTTGAGTTTCCAGAATAGACATGAAACTCTCGATAGTTTTTTGCTTAAATTTGTGATGTGGATTTTCCAATTTAATTTACCATCAAGGTGAATGCCAAGAAGTTTGACTGAGTGGTCTGATTTGTTTGAAGAGAGTGAAAATTCTATTTTCTGGGTTTTGGATTGGTTGCAGATGAGTTTATTTGCAGAAAACCAGTTTAAAACACTGTTTTCTGCATTAGAAATTGTTTCTGAGAGCTTTGTTAGGTCTTTATTAGAAGTAAAAATTGTGGTGTCGTCTGCATATATAACAGACTCAATAGGGATGTTACATGGAAGATCATTGACTGGACAATGAAAAGAAAAGGGCCCAGGACCGAACCCTGCGGAACTCCTGCTTTAATTGCTGTCAATGTTGAGTTTTTACCCTCCACACTAACAAATTGCCTCCTATTGGTCAGATATGATTCAATTATGTCTATTGAGTTTTTATTAAGTCCATAAAATTTGAGTTTTGTCAGCAAAATGTCAAACGGGATGCAATCAAAAGCTTTTGTTAAGTCAAAAAGAAGCATGGACACAGTATTTTTATTTTCAAATGCATTAATGATGTAATTGGAAATATGAGAGACTGCCATAGTTGTTGGTCTACCAGCTCTAAAACCAAATTGAGAGTCAGACATCAACTTATTGGAATCAAAAAAATTATTGAGTTGTTTTAACATGAGAGCTTCAAAAACTTTTGATAAAATTGGAACTATTGAGATTGGGCGAAAATTTTGACAAAGGTTCTTATCGCCCTTTTTATAGATTGGAGTTACTTTTGAAATTTTAAGTAGATCAGGAAAATAACCATTACGGAGGCAACTATTAAATACAGTAGAGAGGGGTGTAGAAATGTAGTGTATACAGTACTTTAATTGACTTTATGTTAGGTTGGGTTATCCTATCCATAAATATGTTTGTAAGAATTTCCTCGTTTCATTATGAATCGAAAGATACCAGATGAGTCACCACTCAGGCAGTACACTGACCCAGATACAAGTGGTGACGGACAGGTGATGCGCACGCTCCGGTAAACGACCTGACCTTAGCCATCTTTTGGTGGGCGAAATTATGACTCATCTGGCATTGTTCGATTCATAACGAAACTAGGAAAGTCCTACAAACATATTTATGATAACCCAACCTAATATAACCGCCGCAGCGCGCTGTATAAGGGTGACCTCCAGGTAATAACAAATAAGTATCATATTTTAAAATTAAAGAATGATAATAGCATGATTTAAAACATTTACTAAATTTTTCTAAACGCGATTTTTCAAGCTCAATTTTATTATTATAACCTATTTAGAAGGGTATGCCACCTAGGTGCTTATTTTATTTTAAACCCAAATATTTATTGAAGGATACGAGTAGAATTGAATGAAATGCTGACTTGAATTTAATTTGACATCGTTTGTTACTGACTAAGGCCAACTGTTTTAATAATCTAGATGAACACTCAGCTACCCAATTATTTATGTTGTTTCCGAAGTTCCATAAATAGCTTCCACCTTCAAGACCCATTAGTCTGAATCTGAATTAAACAATACCTGTGGACAATCTTACGGTAGAAACTTGTAGTCTGCTTGGCGCATCCTGCTCTTCTCTGGGACAGGTACAGATCAACTTCCGTGTGCCTGCACCCAATAGGCATACTAAGATCAACCGAAATATTTACCAGACTTCACCACAGAATATCATATGGGTAATTATAAAAAAATAAGAACCTAAATCACCCCATAAAATTTATTGTGACTAATCCACATATCCCCCGAAGATAACAAACTCGCTGGCGAAATTGTACCATAGATAAAACATGATATTACCGGAGTATGCTTGATCTATGACATTACTCATGTTTACACAACATCCACTTGTAACACCAACACAAACACACGTAAACTTAAAGCTAAAATAAGGAAGAGACAAATGTATCTGCCATCAACCCTTATTAGATCAATTTATACATCTTATTCTACTTACCTTAGAAATATAATACTTATTCATAATTTTAAGAAAGTGAATTGTACTAACACTTACAGCCTGAAAGTTGCTTAATCTTATAATCTCCTGAGCCGCTGAGCGCATAATGACGACAAGGAAAAACTAGTTGAGTAAGATTTTACCTAATACCTACTTAAGAGTAGCCATAAGAGAGGGGCACGGCAATATCACTACTTATTTAAAATCCATTGATGATTGGTCCCCAGAGTCTCGCGCTGTTGTCTTTTTGTCTATGGTTGTACCCAGCTGTACCCACTCACCGGACCTTGCTCCCCGCGTGGCG